GGAACCAGGAGCATTATGCTCCTTCTACTGCTTCAGCATTTAGTTGTGTTACTGAGCAGCATCTGAAGTTGTCAGCTAGCAGGACATCTCTTCAAGAAAGGTCAGTAGGAACCAGAATATATCTTATTGTCTGCAACAGTGAAGAATGCAGTGTGGTTTTCTCCACGCCTCCAGTTACAACTTGCTCAGAACTGGCATGGCGTGGCTTTGCTGACAAGCAAATGGATCAGGTGCCCTTGGGGAATGATGTGCATGTGTTTCATGCTGCTCCTAAGTCCTGTTCTGAGAACAGTATTTCAAGGGAACTTGGTACCCATAAGATGTTCTCTCTTCTCTCTTCCAGTAACTTCGAAAACTGCAGTTTGTATTTTCTCCCTGAACGTACTTTAATGTGCATTCAAAGTACGAGGAACATACCAGTCCAAAACAAACTTTTGGCTTCTTGAGGACACAGGGAAGATGCAGTGACTGCAATTCCTGTACAGGACCCCTACAATTCAGCTTTTTTCTACAGTAAAGCAAATCAAAAGCAACCTCCTGGTGCTAGCGTGAATATTGACCAAAAGTTAACACTATATACAAGTATAAAAAAAAAATTCTATCTATGTACCCTGGAGGTGTGTCCTGGTCAAAGCTCAAAAATCTAACTCAGGAACAGAACTGTCACAGTATCCAGGTACAGCAGGGATATAGAGAAAGAGATATAGAGAAGGTAACAACCCTCTATATTTTTTGCTAGAAACTTATTTCCCAGCTGTCAGAAGGAAGAGTAAAGTGAGCTCATGAATAATTGCTTTTGCTGGTTCCCTTGACCGCCAGACTAATCATTAGCTATCCATCCTGTAGCAGTCTGTAATAACCTCCCCATCTGTGTCAGCAGATATATTTTGACAGCCAAGCACAAGAAAAAAAATCTTTTTTTAAAGTCAACAAATCTCAATAGCCTTTGTACCGTGCCCACATGCCACCTAAATTACGTGAACTCACTTTTCTCATTATGTTTGTGATGCCCCCAAATGTTTTCCCAACCATATGTTACATAGTTCATGAAAACTACCCTACTGGAGGGTGATGAGCCAGTCTTCTGTGCTCTCACAAGAAAATAAATTTTTAAAAAAAAGTGTTAGAAACTGAAAAGCTGAGGGAGACTAGGAATGTTGGGTAGCTATGGTAAATTATCTGGTCTGCCACAGGACTCTTCAATGGCCACACGCATGCTATACAGTCTTTTTGCACCACAACTCCTTTCTCTGATGGCGACAGCAGCACAACCCTCATCTCACAATGAGAGGTTGCAATGAAACAAGGAAACAAACAGTTTCAAGGCCTGTGAAGTACTGAAATATAAAAATAACTGACTGACTAATTCTCTCAGACTAATTTTCAGGTTCTGTCTTTCTCTAGACTTTCGTAAGATTCTTTACTCTGAGATTCCCAATCTTCTTTTTGATGGATATTGCCAACGAGTGCCAGGAGCAACATCCTGATTTTTGCTGCATTACAGGTCCCCTTTGAAATGCTGCAAATCACAGCTTGGTAAAGCCAGCTAGAAGCCTTAAGGAGGTAAGCATCTCACCTCCAGGTGCTGTCTGGGTTCAGCTGCTGAGCATCCTACTGGGACTGCACTATGGGATTTTCTCTGCCAGCCTCAGCACGGCTGGGGCAGTGGCAACTGCAGCTCCCAGCCTCATGCTACACTGAGAAGACTCATATGCCACAAGTGACATCTACCACAGCAGGACATCCCCTGCTTTACTAAATCCTATAGGTTACTTAAAACTCATAATGGTAATCAACATTGCACACTGACAAATTAGTTTTTGCAGACCACTGTTGCTATCTCTGCTCTGTATCGGTGTAGCCATGGGATACACTTTGATTTAAACAAGTACCTTTGTGATATGAAACTCTGATTTCTACCAGCTTCTTTGTCCAGCATTTAATGTTACACCATTATGACATGCTGCTTCTTAGTTTGAAATCAAAGGCTTTAACCCTAAGGCTGAAGCAGGCACAGCACAACATGGTGCAAGGTTAAATCTCCTATTTGAACCTGGCTGGAGCACCAGTCTAGCAGGGCTATCCCGCTTCCCATAGCCCTGTTATCTTACTCAGAGAATAAGAAGTTTCTAATACACCTTGATTTCCCCAGACTTGTTTGCAAACTTTTTCAATTAAAAATATTTTGGGTTTGCAATTTCTCTTGAATTCTGATTGGCCAGTTTATAACAACTGAAACAAGTATAAGCTATAGCCAAGTTAATGTGCTTTTATTTTTAAATTGAAATACTGTTTTCAAACTGTAACAATTTCAAAATTATCAAAATGCTGAAAGTGACATATTGTGACAAAATAAAAGACATTGTGAAAACCAGTGGAGTTCAAACATACATATATTTCCTATTTCTTAATTTCTCCCTTTTTCAGTCAATTCTAAAGGAAGAAATGCTGAAGAACATTAAAACTTGATAAATCCATGATAATATGGCAAGGGCTAAACCTTGTCTGATGTGGCAACTGAGAGGAAGGCGGGAGGAATTCTGAGGGAACAGCCGGAGTGAGAAGCGAAACTGCAAGACCGTGAGATGGTGATCAAAGGGAACAAGGACTCCCAGGCACAGTGAGAAAAAGCATTGCCATCCTGGAGAGATGAATGAAGAAAATCTGTAAAAGGCAGGGTCCTCTTTGCACTACAGTTCCCCCAACACTGTTCAGAAGAGGTGATTTTTAGCTGTTATATTAACCCAATTCAGATAATTTCATTAGCTTCCTTAAATTCACCTTGTTATCTCAAATAACTTCCCAAGCTCTAGATTTCACTAGTCACTAGGTGCAAATACAACAACAGATATGACCATGTTTCAGGGACTATCCACCCAACGGGATGTGCAAAGGCTTAACGAGCCGATGTTTGAAAAATGTTTCATCTGAGAATCTTGAAAAGCAAATAGTACAGCACCACCTTAGTAAGAAACAAATTAACTAGCTGAGTTTTTCTTTTTATTGCCGTTGTCAACAACAGTCTCTAAACATCAAATAAACAGCTTTCAGACTCAAGATGATTGTGTTTTAAAGCAATAATTAATGCTATTCATTTTTTTCTTAGATAAAAAAATTAACTTTTCTCTAATTCAATAGTCAGGGCTTTTTTGACACATTTTCTACTGTAAATTGGAGGATAAATATCCTTCAGGTATGGTATAGGCAGATATCAAAGCAATGGGAGGGAAACCACATAAATTAAAAAACAAACCCTCCCAAGAAAAAAAACTGGAAAAAACCCCAGCAGAACAGTCTGCTCCTTAATTCTGAAGGCCTGATACTGATCGTTTTATCAAGCTGGCACACATCAGTGCAGCCCCATAGTTCACATTCATATAATTTTTTTCTGGTGCTGAATGGAGTCAAGACACAATTTCTGAGCACATACAATATTTCAGGAGCTAGAATAAGATCATGGTGGGGAAAGGGGCAAGCAGTGATTTTTAGTAAAGAATTCGAAGGCATTTTGGAAAACTTCCAGTTAGAGCTGGAATTTAAATATTTCAAACACTTTCTTAAGATTCTATTTTCTTTTCTGCTCCTGACTGAAGTTAGCCACCTGTTTCTATGAGTAGCATCTATGATTTGTGTATAGTAGTTTCTATGAAGGAATAATTGTTTTAAATGTTCGAGAAGGAGCTGTACCTCTCAAGCTGGTCAAGAGATGGACAGACATTTAAAAAAAAAAATAGTGAAGGGAAAGAAAACTTATACAGGGCTTTGAGACCCGCTCCAATCAGGGCAGTGGAGTGGGCTATTAGGAGGACTGTGGTCTGGGCACTCTGGATAAGCTCTGAAAACTTGTGCAATGCTTAGGCAGCCACATACAGGCAGCAGTGGGGAAGAAGAAAACAGCTTGAGGAAAGCAAGGCAATGTGAGGTACGCAATGGAGAAGAAAAGCTTTATGGAGCTTTGAAGAAAAGATGGAGATCAAGCAAGAGATCCTCCCATGTGAGTGACACAACTCAAGCAATAGGCCAACAAATTATTTTAGCTCTTATGCTCTGAAGAATGAAAGCATCTGGTCCTGGAGGACAGGGAGGGCTAAACATCATTGTATTATCAAGGTGGGACTGTATGCAGGGCCTGAACCATGGTCTGGTGCAACAAAGAGATGAGATTCAGACAAAGTTCCCCAGTATAGAATCATAGAATGGTTTAGGTTGGAAAGGACCTTAAAAATCATCTAGTTACAACCTCCCTGGGACTACTGTGTCTACAAACTGGAGAGAAAAAGAGAATTTAAAAATGTGCTTTTTCATCCTCAGCAGCAAGGAAGGAGGACAACCATGCTTGTTAAAAACCAGTCTATGCATAATGTTTAGAACCAGTCATATATAATATATTTTTATTGAAAGCATTAGAAAAGGGAATTTCATTGGAAAGCCTAGAGGAAGGGGCCAGTATAGTCATTGCTTGAAATCTCTCCCTGTGTGCAAAGCAGAGGCAATACCTTCACAACTCAATTGCCACATTAGCCTCATATTGTGCAAGGGTGGACTACTCCTCTTGCACCTTATGGACATATGAATAAAGTAAGATTAAAGCCAAAAAATATGCCTTGAATGACTTGATGATATTTTTTCATTAGTATTAGTATTATTTTAAAAAGACACATCGGAGAGGTATTAAAATTAGAATTAAAAGAGAGGATGGTTATAATATAATTGCCCCTCCAACAGGTGTGGATTGACAAGTTACAAATATTTTCCATTTTAGTCCAGATAATTTTTTACAGGAATGAAATCAGCTCTTGAGTACATTGAGGCTAAGTGTAACCAAACCACCCACTGACTTCTGAGTATCTCTGTAGAAATGGCTACCAAGTGCAACTCTGGTAAAGGCACTGGAAAAAACAGCCGACAAACGTGGCCTTTACTTCATACTCTCAGCTTAGTAATTTTAGAGCAAAATTCAGCTGAAAGGACCCAGCGAGGGCTGGAATTTTCACACTTACCTTAGGAAATATTTGCTCAGTTTCTTTTTGGGGCTTTGTATGTTTACAATGACGAGGCAGACGTTGGCAGCATGCCGATCCCCGTGCTCTTGCTGGGAGCTGTGGGCAGAAGAGAGAAAACAAAGTCAGAAGGATGTGTGTTCTAAATGAGATATCCCACTCAGGATGGTGCATTTGCCCCTTCATGTGCCACCCTAAAGTGCATCTTCACTTGGAAAAAAGTAACTAACATAACAAGCAGAACTGTTTAAGAGATTCTATTTTCCTTATTCAAGCCAATCTCCATTTCTTTGAAAGAAAAAAAAAAGACTTCTGAACAGGACCAGATTCTGGTTTTCCATACTTTGCTCTTATTATCCTACCTATTTTCTTTCTACTGGGCTGTATTCTGCTGTCATTTATCTTCAGTGGAAGCAGAGAGTAAATGTTCTAGTGTCAGCTAAACAGGTCCAGTTCTACATGGAGACAGCTGAAGTAGTCCTTTCATGCTCTCTCTCAGCCAAAACAAGTAGAAGTTACCAGCTAAAGGAAGTCCTGTCCCCTCCTAGTATTTTTACAGCTGGGTAGTAAGCCATATCCAGAAAACAGCTCAAAACTAACCTGAAGAAAAATTGGGGACCAGAGTGAGGAGATGATTTTCCTTCAAGTCAGCACTAAGATCTGCCTCCCAACACGGGTGGTGTGAGTTCCAGTGGGAGCACAAATGGGGAAGAGCTGGGAGTGACCACTTTACACAGCACACTTACGTCAATCCAAAATTATTGTGAAACTACCATCCGGGCCTAGTTCACAATTAAGGGGGGAAAAGTAGCAGAAAAAAGCAAAGAAACACCCCCCCAAAAAAAAATTATATGTTTTTCTTTTTGTTTGAGCTCTGTGAACTGGCTCACTTTGGTGTCAGACAAGCTCTAGCAGGAGACCAAGGACAGGAAGGGGAGGGGAGCAGGACTTGGCAGCAATATCTATTATATCAGCTCAGCTGTAGCACCAAACCATCACTTACAGCATCTGTGGTAAGTTCATTGTTAACAACAGCAAAACCTCAAAACTCTTGAAATGATATTTTTCCCCCCCCTTACCACTCCTAAAGATACAGAGCTGCTGGGCACTGCCCAAAGCTCAAAGATGCAAGTTCATCTCTGGAATTGCATACCCATCTAGACCTACATGATGGATATGCCACCTCTGCCCAGCAGTGGTAGATTAATTTCAGGCTTCTGACCTTTCTTTCCCTGAACAACCATTTCTGATGCAGTAACTCCTAGAAACGCAAACCAGGACTGGAAGCAATCACAAATCTGAAGAAAAGCAGTGCCCACCATAAATGAGCTGGAACCAGGAGCATTATGCTCCTTCTACTGCTTCAGCATTTAGTTGTGTTACTGAGCAGCATCTGAAGTTGTCAGCTAGCAGGACATCTCTTCAAGAAAGGTCAGTAGGAACCAGAATATATCTTATTGTCTGCAACAGTGAAGAATGCAGTGTGGTTTTCTCCACGCCTCCAGTTACAACTTGCTCAGAACTGGCATGGTGTGGCTTTGCTGACAAGCATATGGATCAGGTGCCCTTGGGGAATGATGTGCATGTGTTTCATGCTGCTCCTAAGTCCAGTTCTGAGAACAGTATTTCAAGGGAACTAGGTACCCATAAGATGTTCTCTCTTCTCTCTTCCAGTAACTTCTGTGGAAACTGTGCCAGTACCTTCAACATTGAAATATAACGCAAACTCATCCCGGAACTCTCATCCCAGTTCTTTCATCCTAGGTCTAAACTGCTCATCCCAGGACACCACAGAAATGGTCTGTATCCAAAAAAAAACAACCAAAGCTCAAAAATCTAACTCAGGAACAGAACTGTCACAGTATCCAGGTACAGCAGGGATATAGAGAAAGAGATATAGAGAAGGTAACAACCCTCTATATTTTTTGCTAGAAACTTATTTCCCAGCTGTCAGAAGGAAGAGTAAAGTGAGCTCATGAATAATTGCTTTTGCTGGTTCCCTTGACCGCCAGACTAATCATTAGCTATCCATCCTGTAGCAGTCTGTAATAACCTCCCCATCTGTGTCAGCAGATATATTTTGACAGCCAAGCACAAGAAAAAAAATCTTTTTTTAAAGTCAACAAATCTCAATAGCCTTTGTACCGTGCCCACATGCCACCTAAATTACGTGAACTCACTTTTCTCATTATGTTTGTGATGCCCCCAAATGTTTTCCCAACCATATGTTACATAGTTCATGAAAACTACCCTACTGGAGGGTGATGAGCCAGTCTTCTGTGCTCTCACAAGAAAATAAATTCTTAAAAAAGCATGTTAGAAACTGAAAAGCTGAGGGAGACTAGGAATGTTGGGTAGCTATGGTAAATTATCTGGTCTGCCACAGGACTCTTCAATGGCCACACGCATGCTATACAGTCTTTTTGCACCACAACTCCTTTCTCTGATGGCGACAGCAGCACAACCCTCATCTCACAATGAGAGGTTGCAACAAAACAAGGAAACAAACAGTTTCAAGGGCTGTGAAGTACTGAAATATAAAAATAACAGAGACAATAGATTTATCTCAGACTAATTTTCAGGTTCTACCTTTCTCTAGACTTTTGTAAGATTCTTTACTCTGAGATTCCCAATCTTCTTTTTGATGGATATTGCCAGGGAGTGCCACGAGCAACATCCTGATTTTTGCTGCATTACAGGTCCCCTTTGAAATGCCGCAAATCACAGCTTGGTAAAGCCAGCTAGAAGCCTTAAGGAGGTAAGCACCTCACCTCCAGGCGTGCTCACCTGATCTTCTAGGGAAATTAAGAACTCTGTCTGGGTTCAGCTGCTGAGCATCCTACTGGGACTGCACTATGGGATTTTCTCTGCCAGCCTCAGCACGGCTGGGGCAGTGGCAACTGCAGCTCCCAGCCTCATGCTACACTGAGAAGACTCATATGCCACAAGTGACATCTACCACAGCAGGACAGCACAACGTGGTGCAAGGTTAAATCTCCTATTTGAACCTGGCTGGAGCACCAGTCTAGCAGGGCTATCCCGCTTCCCATAGCCCTGTTATCTTGCTCAGAGAACAAGTAGTTTCTAATACACCTTGATTTCCCCAGACTTGTTTGCAAACTTTTTCAATTAAAAATATTTTGGGTTTGCAATTTCTCTTGAATTCTGATTGGCCAGTTTATAACAAATGAAACAAGTATAAGCTATAGCCAAGTTAATGTGCTTTTATTTTTAAATTGAAATACTGTTTTCAAACTGTAACAATTTCAAAATTATCAAAATGCTGAAAGTGACATATTGTGACAAAATAAAAGACATTGTGAAAACCAGTGGAGTTCAAACATACATATATTTCCTATTTCTTAATTTCTCCCTTTTTCAGTCAATTCTAATGGAAGAAATACTAAAGAACATTAAAACTTGATAAATCAATGATGATATGGCAAGGACATGAATAATTGCTTTTGCTGGTTCCCTTGACCGCCAGACTAATCATTAGCTATCCATCCTGTAGCAGTCTGTAATAACCTCCCCATCTGTGTCAGCAGATATATTTTGACAGCCAAGCACAAGAAAAAAAATCTTTTTTTAAAGTCAACAAATCTCAATAGCCTTTGTACCGTGCCCACATGCCACCTAAATTACGTGAACTCACTTTTCTCATTATGTTTGTGATGCCCCCAAATGTTTTCCCAACCATATGTTACATAGTTCATGAAAACTACCCTACTGGAGGGTGATGAGCCAGTCTTCTGTGCTCTCACAAGAAAATAAATTCTTAAAAAAGCATGTTAGAAACTGAAAAGCTGAGGGAGACTAGGAATGTTGGGTAGCTATGGTAAATTATCTGGTCTGCCACAGGACTCTTCAATGGCCACACGCATGCTATACAGTCTTTTTGCACCACAACTCCTTTCTCTGATGGCGACAGCAGCACAACCCTCATCTCACAATGAGAGGTTGCAACAAAACAAGGAAACAAACAGTTTCAAGGGCTGTGAAGTACTGAAATATAAAAATAACAGAGACAATAGATTTATCTCAGACTAATTTTCAGGTTCTACCTTTCTCTAGACTTTTTTTTTTGACACATTTTCTACTGTAAATTGGAAGATAAAGATCCTTCAGGTATGGTATAGACAGATATCAAAGCAATGGGAGGGAAACGACATAAATTAAAAAACAAACCCTCCCAAGAAAAAAAACTGGAAAAAACCCCAGCAGAACAGTCTGCTCCTTAATTCTGAAGGCCTGATACTGATCGTTTTATCAAGCTGGCACACATCAGTGCAGCCCCATAGTTCATTTTTTGACACATTTTCTACTGTAAATTGGAGGATAAATATCCTTCAGGTATGGTATAGGCAGATATCAAAGCAATGGGAGGGAAACCACATAAATTAAAAAACAAACCCTCCCAAGAAAAAAAACTGGAAAAAACCCCAGCAGAACAGTCTGCTCCTTAATTCTGAAGGCCTGATACTGATCGTTTTATCAAGCTGGCACACATCAGTGCAGCCCCATAGTTCACATTCATATAATTTTTTTCTGGTGCTGAATAGAGTCAAGACACAATTTCTGAGCACATACAATATTTCAGGAGCTAGAATAAGATCATGGTGGGGAAAGGGGCAAGCAGTGATTTTTAGTAAAGAATTCGAAGGCATTTTGGAAGACTTCCAGCTAGAGCTGGAATTTAAATATTTCAAACACTTTCTTAAGATTCTATTTTCTTCTCTGCTCCTGACTGAAGTTAGCCACCTGTTTCTATGAGTAGCATCTATGATTTGTGTATAGTAGTTTCTATTGTTTTGTGATTTGTGTACAGTAGTTTCTATTTCTATTGTTTTAAATGTTCGAGAAGGAGCTGTACCTCTCAAGCTGGTCAAGAGATGGACAGACATTTAAAAAAAAAAATAGTGAAGGGAAAGAAAACTTATACAGGGCTTTGAGACCCGCTCCAATCAGGGCAGTGGAGTGGGCTATTAGGAGGAGAGTGGTCTGGGCACTCTGGATAAGCTCTGAAAACTTGTGCAATGCTTAGGCAGCCACATACAGGCAGCTGTGGGGAAGAAGAAAACAGCTGGGGATATGAAGAAAGCAAGACAATGTGAGGTACGCAATGGAGAAGAAAAGCTTTATGGAGCTTTGAAGAAAAGATGGAGATCAAGCAAGAGATCCTCCCATGTGAGTGACACAACTCAAGCAATAGGCCAACAAATTATTTTAGCTCTTATGCTCTGAAGAATGAAAGCATCTGTCCTGGAGGACAGGGAGGGCTAAACATCATTGTATTATCAAGGTGGGACTATATGTAGGGCCTGAACCCTACATATAGTAGGGTGGCACCAGGGTCTGGTGCAACAAAGAGATGAGATTCAGACAAAGTTCCCCAGCATAGAATCATAGAGTGGTTTAGGTTGGAAAGGACCTTAAAGATCATCTAGTTACAACCTCCCTAGAACTACTGTGTCTACAAACTGGAGAGAAAAAGAGAATTTAAAAATGTATTTTTTTTCATCCTCAGCGACAAGGAAGAAGACGGACAACCATGCTTGTTAAAAACCAGTATATGCATAACATTTAGAGCTAGTCATATATAATATATTTTTATTGAGAGCATTAGAAAGGGGAATTTCATTGGAAAGCCTAGAGGAAGGGGACCAGTATAGTCATTGCTTGAAATCCCTCCCTGTGTGCAAAGCAGAGGCAATACCTTCACAACTCAATTGCCACATTAGCCTCATATTGTGCAAGGGTGGACTACTCCTCTTGCACCTTATGGACATATGAATAAAGTATGATAAAAGCCAAAAAATATGCCTTGAATGACTTGATATTTTTTCATTATTATTATTTTAAAAAGACACATCGGAGAGGTATTAAAATTAGAATTAGAAGAGAAGATGGTTATAATATAATTGCCCCTCCAACAGGTGGGGATTGACAAGTTACAAATATTTTCCATTTTAGTTCAGATAACTTTTTACAGGAATGAAATCAGCTCGAGTGCCTCGAAGCTAAGTGTAACAAAACCACCCACTGACTTCTGAGTATCTCTGTAGAAATGGCTACCAAGTGCAACTCTGGTAGAGGCACTGGAAAAAACAGCCGACAAACATGGCCTTTACTTCATACTCTCAGCTTAGTAATTTTAGAGCAAAATTCAGCTGAAAGGACCCAGCGAGGGCTGGAATTTTCACACTTACCTTAGGAAATATTTGCTCAGTTTCTTTTTGGGGCTTTGTATGTTTACAATGACGAGGCAGACGTTGGCAGCATGCCGATCCCCGTGCTCTTGCTGGGAGCTGTGGGCAGAAGAGAGAAAACAGAGTCAGAAGGATGTGTTTTCTAAATGAGATATCCCACTCAGGATGGTGCATTTGCCCCTTGATGTGCCATCCTAAAGTGGATCTTCACTTGGAAAAAAGTAACTAGGATAACAAGCAGAACTGTTTAAGAGATTCTGTTTTCCTTATTCAAGCCAATCTCCATTTCTTTGAAAATAATAATAAAAAAAAATAAAAATAATAATAAAGACTGTTTAAGAGATTCTATTTTCCTTATTCAAGCCAATCTCCATTTCTTTGAAAGAAAAAAAAAAGACTTCTGAACAGGACCAGATTCTGGTTTTCCATACTTTGCTCTTATTATCCTACCTATTTTCTTTCTACTGGGCTGTATTCTGCTGTCATTTATCTTCAGTGGAAGCAGAGAGTAAATGTTCTAGTGTCAGCTAAACAGGTCCAGTTCTACATGGAGACAGCTGAAGTAGTCCTTTCATGCTCTCTCTCAGCCAAAACAAGTAGAAGTTACCAGCTAAAGGAAGTCCTGTCCCCTCCTAGTATTTTACAGCTAAGTAGTAAGCCATATCCAGAAAACAGCTCAAAACTAACCTGAAGAAAAATTGGGGACCAGAGTGAGGAGATGATTTTCCTTCAAGTCAGCACTAAGATCTGCCTCCCAACACGGGTGGTGTGAGTTCCAGTGGGAGCACAAATGGGGAAGAGCTGGGAGTGACCACTTTACACAGCACACTTACGTCAATCCAAAATTATTGTGAAACTACCATCCGGGCCTAGTTCACAATTAAGGGGGGAAAAGTAGCAGAAAAAAGCAAAGAAACACCCCCCCAAAAAAAAATTATATGTTTTTCTTTTTGTTTGAGCTCTGTGAACTGGCTCACTTTGGTGTCAGACAAGCTCTAGCAGGAGACCAAGGACAGGAAGGGGAGGGGAGCAGGACTTGGCAGCAATATCTATTATATCAGCTCAGCTGTAGCACCAAACCATCACTTACAGCATCTGTGGTAAGTTCATTGTTAACAACAGCAAAACCTCAAAACTCTTGAAATGATATTTTTCCCCCCCCTTACCAGCTAGGAAATTACAGCTAGGTTCTTTCTGAGATCTTTCATAAAAGGGAGGTATACATGAAGATACAAGATCTGGCTCAGAGACCAAGAACTGAAATACTAGGGCTTGGAAACAAAGACTTAAAGCCTTGGCCAGGCCACCTTACCCCTCTTTCAATAGAAATAGGGAGGGATGGAGAAGATCCTATTAATCTTTGTGCAAAGGCTATCGTCATGAAACCTTAAACACATTTATTTTACTCCAAGTGGTTATTACACTTCTGTGAGACCTACAGTAGTGCAATTGCATTGGTTCACTGTTTGTTCCTGTAGCTTCCTCCATCTGCCTCATATTACTGTTGATCAAGTGGCTGCTGCTACCTGCAGCTCTCAAGAGCAGCATATGAGCAGCCCTGCGCTGGCCTTTTGGAAATGCCGGGTTCTGGCTTTGCCTGAAGCAGGAGAAGAGCAAGGTATTTGCACATTTTCTCTTCCAGGCACAAGCCAGAGGTGCAAGGGTTCACAACTGAGGCAGCAAAGCAAACCTCAGCCACAAGGTAGGTTTGATTTGGATCAGTCGATGGCAAGCTTCATGCAAGAATTCATGTCAATTCCTCAAACAATTTACAAACCCTTTGATGAAAGAGTTTATTACAATGATTTACTGAATAAAACCATATTAAATGCAGTCAGCAATTTTTCATTGTTTGACAAGCTAGGTTGGTAAGGAGAACTGCGTGGATGCAATACACTTTGATTTTATAATTAAACCAATTTAAAATTTCCCTGGGAAACTGATTGAAATAGAAAAATCAAATTCTGCACTTGGCAGCAGGCAAATTCAGAACGAGTATGTCAAGACAGGCCGAGTTCAACCAGAAAGGACCCTGAGCAACCCGATCTAGATTTGAAGTTGGAGCAGAAGTTGGATGAGGTCCCTTGCAACCAACATATTTTCAGTACTTTCAAGTGAACACAGCAGTAGATTTGATCCACTCACTTTAACGGGGCCCCCTACTTCCTTTGAGTGCTTCACCAAGAGCACTTACATATAGCAACAGTTGAGGTCATTATCGAAACAGAATGCCTCTCTGGACTACCTGCTTTAGCCAAACACAAGTCACTGGCCTATGTGACAGCTGGGTGAAATATAATGGATTCTTGAACAGGAGACAGGGTCAATAGTCAGCTAGGCCCTCCTAGCCTTAAACATAATGAATAAAGAGAGGATTAGATGAAGAGGTGTCAGGGAGAAAACACCCTTTGAAGTCTGGTTAGCGTGCTCCAAACAACAAGATCATTAGTCTTAGCCTGGAGGGGAGTTTGTGGGCCTCAAGGACCATCTCATTTTTCCAGCTGGTCTAATTAAAGAAACCTACAAAGCAATCTTGTCTGTGTCTTTCTGACCATACAATACGACACAAACTGCTACTGAGAGGGAAAGTAACTGCAAACATCCCAGTTCCAGCAGGCAGATTAGGAGCCAGCTGAGCAAAGAGGGAAGGCAGCAGACCAGCCTCCTGGACCCGATGCCAGAAGTTAGCTGTATATGGTACTTTGTAAACAACACAGTCACTGTAGCTCCCTTCCTGCAGAAACCCCACGCAGCCTGCAAACAAGAGTTAAAGCAAGAAAAGGGAATGATTTCCAGCAACCTCCACAAGTGCACGCATCCCAGAATTCTTTGTCAGCTGCACACTTGGCCTTAACTCTGAGACATTAATTGCTTTAACTGGATTTTGACAAAACAAAAGTTAAGGAAGGGTTAGTCTCAGGGTAAAGATAATCATTATAATTCCCCTGGTCTTGGTTAATATATTAAACCCAGGAGCTCTGCTTTAGTTTCAGTCCTGTGAAAAAATAAAAAGCAAAATCTCGCCACAATGCATAACTATCACGCTCTAAAAAAAGAACATTGCTAATTGCTTGTAAGACAAGTAACACTTGCATTTCCTGCATGCAGGAAATAAGGGGAAAAAGACATCCAAAGAGGGAAAGGCTCAGGCATTCTATCTAGCCTCCTGACAAAGAGGAGTATGAGTGAGAATTGATTTTTATGCTGCTTGCTGCATGGTCCTGAAAGTCAATGCAGATCCCTGCTTCTTGCTTTAGATCTGTTTCAGCAGAGATTTTGCACCCAGCAGGCAAAGTGTGCCAGCACTGGAGTGAGCAGTGTTCCCGGGTGTCAGCTGTAGCACTCTGATACGTCCTTGAGAACTAGCACATCATTAGGGATACTTTCACAACAGAATGTGTGGGTCTTAGGTCCATATGTCAGACAAAACTGAGGATGCTCTTAAGGAGAAATTAAAAAAAAACAACAAAACAAAACAACTTACCAACAAATAAGTTTTAATAACTGTTGCTTTAAGTGCTCCTTTTGCATTTGATTTCAGCTCTGTTACTGAGATTATCAAAACCCAGCTTTGATAAAGCGACTCTGTACGCTCTTCTGTTAAAAAAAAAAAAAAACCAAACAAAAAAATCCCACCACAAGATGTAGCTATTTGTTTGAAAAGTGCTCTGGAAGAGAAATTAACAGGAAACATATTTTGCAGTGCAATACGACGTATTACAGATATAAAGTCTGATTCTCTTGTCTCTGCACCTTAGGCAGTCATTGCCACCTCTCTGAATTAGCAGCAGTTTACACCTACTTGCACTGATATAAATGTCAACAACAAGAGCAAGGTGATAGAAAACAGGTCTGCAGTGTATAGCCTCAGCCAAACACACCTAGATTATCAAAACCCAGCTTTGATAAAGCGACTCTGTACGCTCTTCTTTTAAAAAAAAAAAAAAACCAAACAAAAAAATCCCACCACAAGATGTAGCTATTTGTTTGAAAAGTGCTCTGGAAGAGAAATTAACAGGAAACATATTTTGCAGTGCAATACGACGTATTACAGATATAAAGACTGATTCTCTTGTCTCTGCACCTTAGGCAGTCATTGCCACCTCTCTGAATTAGCAGCAGTTTACACCTACTTGCACTGATATAAATGTCAACAACAAGAGCAAGGTGATAGAAAACAGGTCTGCAGTGTATAGCCTCAGCCAAACACACCTGCAACCCTTTTACAGAGAAAACTATATACTGCTCTATATCTAACTCTGTATATTACAATAATATTAATAAGCTATATGGAACTACATACAACTTAAATGACATTTTATGCACTGTACTTATAAGAGATTTGATAATGGCCAATATATACACAAACAGCAAAACATCCCTGTTCACATGTTACATTCGAAGCATATTTTAGCATAAATTAGGGTTTGTCCTTTGGCACAGCAGAAGCAGAAGCAGGACATGCTCCCTCAACAACCTTGACAAAGAAAACACAGAGTTCACACTGATCAAGGCAGCACCAGGCATCTCAGTTCCTGGAGAGCACTTCCAATTCCTAAAGGTGAGTACCTGTCCCGGTAATGCAGCTTCAAGAGCACACCACAGACAACTACCAGATTAAATATGAAACTCCCCGACCACACTAGCGTGAGACCTCAGCCATTACTATTTGTAAACTACATGGCTGAATAACCCCAGATTTCCTAAGAAAGAAGTGATACTGTAGTTTGCTTTTTCACTGTGAGGTTGCTGAAAAACATGAAGATCTGTGGTGCTCTCCCAGCCTTCCTTATCTATGCTGCTAAAAATGAACTGATGCCATGGGTCTCCCATTCTCCACATCAGTCACCCCTTGCTAGGAGGTCAAGAGACCATCAATATTACATCTGAGACTCCTCCAGTCTTGGAAACATTTCTGGTTGACAACTCAAGACTTTTTTTTTTTAAATCTGATTATCCATTCTCACTCCAGAAATAACTGGAAATACTTCATTTGAAGTAACTTTCTAAGAGCTGTCTTACAGAATAGCTATTCAGATTATCTCCCAGTATTAGTCCCGTGTAAATAAGCTTATTTCTTAATATTATCAAATGTGTAA